CCATGGATTAATTTTTGCCTTTATAGGAGTTTTCTGCATAAATAGTGCTGCCTTGAATTGCACGGTTGTCTTGCCATCCAAGACATAACAGCATCATGGATTATTCAGATTCTACTGTTATCAGTGGTTTAGGTAGTTGTTTTATTCCCACACACCAACTGCTGGCTCTTCAGGCAAGACATTTTGCACTAATAGGTAGACTCAGATTTTACTATGGAAAGCCAATTTATGAATTTATAGCTCACTCGGGGTTGGCTCCATCATGTGGGTGCGAACCGGATGTATTGCAAATACTAATGAAAAAAGAGGAAAAAAATGTAAAAGTTTTATTCAAAAGCCAGATTTGTCAAAATCTGTCCTTTTCCTTCTAGCCATATATTAGAGACTGATACCATGGAAAAAGCAAACATGAGCTTTCCCAAAGCTTTTGTGTTTCTGGGCTTCTCAGAGTTTCCCTGGCTGGAGAGGCCCCTCTTTGCAGTGGTCCTGGTCTCCTACTTCCTCACCCTGCTGGGGAACAGCTCCATCATCCTCCTATCCCTGGTGGACCCCAGACTCCAGACACCCATGTACTTCTTCCTGGACAACCTTTCTCTTCTGGACCTTGGTGTCACCTCCACCATTGTGCCCCAGCTGCTTACAAATCTCTGGGGACCAGACAAGACTATTGCTTCCTGGGGCTGCCTCACACAGGTCTATCTTTTTAATTGGACTGCTTGTGCTGAATGCATCCTGTTGGCCATGATGGCCATTGACCGCTATGTGGCCATCTGCCAGCCCCTCCAGTACACTCTCATCATGCGTCCCTGGGTCTGTGTACAGATGGCAGCTGCTTCTTGGTGCAGTGGCCTGGCTAATTCCCTGCTCCAAACCACATTCACCCTCCAGCTCTCGCTCTGTGGACACCAAACCCTGGACCACTTTTTCTGTGAGGTGCCTGTGCTCATCAAGCTGGCCTGTGGGGACACCACTGCTAATGAGCTCGCCTTGTCCATTGGAGCCATCCCATTTGGAATGCT